TCATTTGAGGGCTACGGCAACCTAATCAGTTTAATCCAAACAGATTAACTTATCTTCTTACTAAAATAACAGAATGCTGCTACCGACAAAACAAACAATTATATTGTGCTATTGGTTCCGAACAGTGAGGGTGTAAACATTCAGTTGATCTGTACATATAATACCTCCGCTGGACATAGTATACCTTACTTCTGGCCTTTGCCATTTTCAATGATTTATGGTAATAAATATTCGATTTCCCTTGATTGTGTTGAACAGATACCATGTATAACTTCCTTCCCAAACAGAACCTGACACGTGTGGTGTGCGACGCCCAATGTTTACTCAAGAAAGCGGTCCATTCATTTATTCTGCCATTACCATAGGAGTGCCTGAGGTAAGCTTGGAGCATTCACGAAGTTTTGCCAATAGTTAAGACATTTTATTTTGCAATAGACAAATGAATTTTAATTCTTTCAGCGTGTCTTCCTCGACAAAGAAGGATTTTTCGTAGACTCCGTCGGAGGAATTTGCAAGAAAGAGGATTTAACTGACGCCTTTAAATGCAACGTCGAGATATGTGAGTAAACATTCATTTATGGCCTTCCTGTGTGGGTCGTCGCATTTGTGGATAAAACAGTTGCATGTTAATATGTGAGTTGGGCATTCGCATGGGTATGAATGCACCGCAGTGCAAAGGTCTCCAATATTTTTTTGCTAAGTGCATCATAGTACTTCTGAGAAAGAAATGTTTTTAACTTTCTATTTAGCCTTAGAATGTCCCTCGCACTTGAATATTATCATTTTCGTATTTTTTCTGGGTAGTCCTGCTGACATTGTGCTTCTGTTTTTTTGCTTTTAGTGGCCGACTTCTCGCGAATTACTGTTTTCCTTCCGGAAATTAAAAACTTTAGTGAGATTTACATTGGATATCGATCAGAAGGAGCACCAGGCGGAACCTATTGGATCACAATCAAACGGAGACGGCTTGCTTCCTTGGAGTCTGGTACGCGATGAGTGGCGATTACTTCAATTTGATAAAACATGCAGAATCGATTGTTCACCACATGTCACCCATATGCTATAGTCAAGAAAATATGTGCGTCAGCTAATGTATTTCAACTCGAAAGAAACTGTCAGTCTTAAGAAGAAGGCAAGGGCTCTTTAGTACATTATTGATAGAAATAATCAACGTTTAATATGAAATCGAATATGAGCTAGTGGTCATACCACAAATCACTGATGTACAGGTATGTATTAGGGCGACATTTTAGGCATGGGAATGGCCAGGTTGCCTATATGGTCTTGGTCAATTCAATAAGATAGCACAAAATCAATAATTTCTTGTGTTGACGGATACTTCTTCGCCTTATGTCACTTTCTTGTGATAATTGGTGAAGTATTTTATTATGACTCATATTCATACTGTTGGATCAATACTGTGAACGTTATCGGGAGCATATTTCCTAAGAGCGGTGAAACGGAGCTCTATTCTGTAGAATTTCGGTGTCCATTCTGCGAATAAGGATGCTGTTAGGAAGGAGGGCATCGGTTAGGCTGTAGGATTGACCGCCCAGTTGGCAGTTTTTTTGATTTTTTTAGTCATCCAAACCATCAGTCGTTGGCAGTCCTTAAGTGTATCCGTTTACACTAAAAAACGCTTGAAGAAGAGGTCTTAATCCGTAGCATTTATCAGCATATAAAAATTTATGAATAGCAAGACACGTTGGATTTTGCTCAGTTCAGATCATTTTTCCACTAATAAGCGCATTTGAATTGATGTTTTCCATGATACACAGCAAGTTCCGCCATGACACAATTAAATGCCCACAATAGCAACCTCCAATGTTTGTTAAATGACCACCCTAATTTTTCATGTGAGCATCTTATGCATTAGGCAATCTGCTTTAATTCATCAAATTAAATTGCCCACATCCGACCATATGCAATTTACCACTCGAATTCACACTTAATAAATATTGTTTTTTTCAGCAAGGTTTGTCTACCAACCTGAAGACGACTCATCTGGTTGTGTTAATGGTACACATTTGGAGATTTCTTGGCGCCTCAGACACAGGGCTTCAGGTATAAATACCAATCATGTAAGTCCCTTACCTCCTTTTTCTTTTATTTACATACTAGTATTTTCTCAATAATTTTTAAACTTTCCGAAGGTATTACCCATGTTACCATCTCTTTGTTTCTCTGGAGTAGAAATACTCAATGGGTTCAACGAGCACTGGCGATAACTGATACCAAAATGGAGCATTGTTGCCTTTAGTTTTTTGTTCAATTTGCATCACTTTTATACAATGTCTGAGAATTTTGTTGCCAGAGCCCCAGTATGCCACTAACGCCTTATCTCCTGCACAGCTAATGGATGAGAGATATATGGGAATTCCAGACTGCAATCTCATTTTCTACTGCATTACTCTCATCTCTATGTGTGATGTGCAAGACGAATTACAAAAGTGCCTTTGTCTCATCATAAGATACGAATAACGACCTTACACTGTGGTTTTAGCCTACTTTAATCTGTGCGCCATATGAACCATTTCGTACCTTATTATTTCTGCAATCAGTGCATGTTCTTCAAAAACCCGAATATAAATCTTTTGATTACAGCTCTCATGCATTTCAAGTGAGGGCGAACTTTGTGGGGAACGGCGTCCGTGCAGTAAGTCATTTTACAGTGATTCAAACGTTTTCGAAAATAATTCTATAACATGTGGCTGGCATATGTTTTATATTCATATCAACCGGATTTTTAGTTTTAGAGGAGGAGGAGGGGCAGGAGTCAGTCATAAAATTCAACGTGACGCAAGGAGCAAAACCTATTATGTTCTTTACCTGCATCTACCTCGATGAGAACCCCTTCGACCATATCACCTATCGATATATATGGCCAGGTAAAGTTCGCTTTCTCTGACGAAAGGATTCCGAAACTATAATTGACTACTCTAAACAAGTATTATTTGAGTAGACATACTGTATTAGCAAATAAATACGTTTTTTTTCGTTTCTAGGCGTGGACGCATTTTTGGGTGAGGATAAAGTAGCGCACAGTAGTTCAGATATTGTGCAGCTGCAATGGATCGTAAGAAGTTGGGGACCACATGAATATAGGGTACGTACCATCCGTTCTGTTTGAGTTAACCAAACTTTCATGTTCCTCACTTGTTTGTGTGTTACAATCGGAATGCAGATATTTGACTCTGATAGGGATAGGGGGAGCTGAATCATTTGCAGACAACCATTAACTAGAAATTTTCTATTTAAGCGAGTTTGATAGTCAGATTAGTTGTGGTTGAGATTTGTAATGTTTTCAAATCTTCCAGATTATTACACATTATAATAATTGTTTTGAGTCAAATGCATTGTCAGATCATTTATTAATTTGGGAAAAGTTTAAAGGCTGAGCTCATAATTAAGGGAATAATAAAGGCTAAACGGATTATTTTTTATCTGCGGGCTTTTTTGACTGTTTTGACTTATGCGTTAAATATTGATTTTCTTGTAGAAATTAGAGTGCACCGTCGACAACAAGTTATTGTGCGCGGGAATCACGACTTCTCACGAAAGCGGAAAATGCCGTAAGTATTGTTTCAGGGATTTTATTTTTTTCCTCTTTTGATAAAATCTTACCGGTTTCCTTTCTATTTAGAAGTACAAGAGGAGGGTGATAAGTTCACATTTACCCGTACTTTTGAGCGCGTTATAAACTCAAAGCAGTCAGTTGTCGTTTGCAATTCGTCTAACGATTTTCAAACGCAGACCGTTTATTGGCAAGGTAAGCAATCCTTAAAAGTACTCTATCCTGTGCCATACTAACCATCATAGAGGGACTTTGGATTTGAAGGCATTTGATTTTGAGAAAAACCGAAACAGATGTGCTGCCTTCTAGGAGATAAGGGACCAACGTATTTGCAGTGTCCTTTGAAGGCTACCACAAGTTCTCGTGGTTAATATTCCAGCGTTCATTTCTTAACCTGGCCTGTCTTGGTCGTGCCCGATACCCATGAAACCGCCGAACAGATATAACCCCTTCTTCATCAGAAATGTGCTTTACTCCCATAATGCACCAATCGTTAAAATAATTTCAGAACAAGGGCATACCTTGGTTTGTGGTTCAGTTGCGAGTGCTCTCATGACCATATTCAGAAGTCTAGTAGACGGGCACTCTAGTCCAACTATTCTAAAACGAAATATCTGCAACGTAAATACAGTGTTAGAAATAAACCCAGATATGTACACTTTCGATTTCATGATGGATATGTCGACTTGGGCAGAGAGCCATCGAAGTTAATATATCAAAATCGGCCTTCCGAAGTGCGAAAAAGACTAATTAAACAGAGTCGACCGTACATTAAACACGAAAATTATTGTGAACCCTCCTCAACTGAATGAACAATTCCGTTTAAATCCTGATAAATTGGCAATATGGCTGTTTGTTTCCTTCGAACGAAGGAGTTCACATCTAAAGAATCTATATGAAGTTTATAGGGAGATGACATAGATTTGACGTAGAGTCGACGATTGTGTCCATTTGGGCACTGTTAAGCTATTTTAAATATTATGCGCAAATATTCGTTTATTTCGTAATTTAAATAAGCAGTCTATTATTTTTTTATACTTTTATAGTCTCTTATTTTTTAATTATTTTTTTGGTCTCTCGAGACGCCCCACGCATTTTACCATTATTGCCATCTGTGGGTTTTTTTCGGGTTCTGTCTAGTGACCTAAATTAAACCGTTATACCGTAGTTCGTGCCCATGTACTAATTCCAAGTTGGTTTCTGTAAGTGTTAGTTAATGCCTCAGGGAAACAATTTTAAGCCAGACACATTTTTTCCTCAGAATCCTCAGTATTGTAACTTAGTGTCATTTGCTATCTCCTATTTTATCTTCTAGGCGCCCAGTTAGACACAGTCAACCAACTAATTCCAGGTTCGTAAAAATTCTCTGAAAATTCGCACCTTAAACTGACTAATGCTGTTTTCAGCGATGCCATTCGTCAAGCCGAAATATAATTTCTGGAGTCTTTGTTTTAGAATACCGTATTCCATTGGAGCCGATTGCACTGGGGAATAGGCTTAGGGACTATTTATCGCAGGCGCGTGTAGGCATTCGCGGGTATACACGTGTTCTCCGAATAGCACCTTCCTCGGCCTTCACTGTGACTTGCTCAATTGCCCATAGCAACATGTCGTGGTCATGCCTGGTGCCGTTCGACTTTGCGCTACTGCAACGTATAACTCTTCATGTGAGTGATTTTTTGTTGGTTTATTTATGCCTGTATGGTTTGTCCTCTGCTTAGTAGAGGTATAATCACCCTATGTATATCCATATGCGCAGCAAATCGATAAACATGCAGCACTCAGTACAAAGTGTAAATATTAATAGGACAATTGCAAAGCCTGCAACATGGCATATACGGAAGTCGCACATTTACTTCAGGCTTATTGAGGGAAAGATGGGCAAACGCCTTTGACATAGTGACTGATAAATGTATCGATAAAGTAGAGAGAGAAATTCAAACAGTGGTTGTTAACATGATTGCGTGCACCAATTTAACAGCCGTCAGTTAGTGGGATGATGAATGTACATTTATATTCACTACTGCGGTGTGATCTGAAAAAAACGCTGTGCATTCTAGAATGTTTCTCTCGTATAAAAACTGCACTCACACAAAGAAAAATCTGTTTGAACAATTACCAATTGTCTATTGTATGTACGCTGATATGTTCTAACGCCCGTAGGGATTCATTTCATTTATTCCTACCTGATGGTCTTTGTGCCTTAAGGGTCATGCGCCAACGTTGGAAACCTCTTTGCCAACCATTTCTGGAAAAGAGTTAGAACATAAATAAGTTCCATTTTGCGGTCCTTACGCTCAGTCCTATGCACGCTTGCACGATTAGAGAGCCCCTTACCAGCACTCAGGTTCACGCGTCAACAAGAATCTAAGCAAAGAACTAAGAAGTTCAGGCAGACCTTCATAAAATCATGGCATGCGTTCAGAAAATTCCTGCATTTATCTTCTCAAAGCACACATAGAGGATGAAAT